GCCTTCATTTCAGACAGTTTCTCTTCGTAGTCAGAGCTGTTGAATCGAGAATAAAATGTATTAAGTTCATCAGCCAGGTGCTTATCTGATTCATGACCAATTAAAGTTGTATGTGCCCATCCATCCATCCATTTTCTACCCTTTAATCCATTTCTGGGTCAGGGGGGTGACAGTCAGAGATGCCACCCAAGTCTCATAGCACCAGCCCCTCACTGACCCTCTGCAGGTGGTGAGTCCACAGGAGGACGGCTGCTCTCTGAGTGTGAGCATAGCCTTGATCTTTCAGCGGGGGCTTTAGGCAAAGTGGGGTTAAGTGTCTTGCCCAAGGACACAATGACAGCAGTCATCAGTGGGAGTTGGTGGAGAAGGTTCAGAGGTGGGAATTGAACCCACGACCTTCTGGCCATAAGGCCAATGCTCTACCAACTGAGCTACTGTCGCCATTGTATGTGCCATTAAATCAATACCTGCGCAGGTTCCACTGGGGAAACCGGTCTCTCCAGAGCAGCCTCTGCGAGCGCGTACGCACACAAGTACATGCCACAAGTACCGTGCGTGAATCAGCGGCCATGTGCATCTCATTCACCGAGACAGACAGACTGTACCCGAATGTATAACGGATTAGATCTGTACAGCGTGAAATATATCCGAAGCCATGGCACAATTGTACTGGTTAGGACTCAGTAATGCAGTTAACACAGCTCAAATTTTGTAATTAGCAGCGTCACTCCCGGTATGTGATAATTTCTCTTACCAAACAAAATGCCCAGGCGAATGGCGCCGCAAGCAGCCAAATGCGACAGTATCTTTGAACGTAGTACAACGAACGTCAAAGAAATAGTCCCATTATAAACACAGACCCACTCATCATTGAATAGAAAGTTGAATACCCACATATAAGCACCAACACAGATATTTAGCATATGATATGTGATTATGTGACCTACTCGTGAAGTCTCTTTTCCCTTTACATTGCTTTGAACGGCACGAACAACAAGGTCCACCTCCGCCATTGTCGCAGGTTCACAACGACATAGCCTATCGCCAAGGCTAATATCTTAAATTATTTCGAAAGACATACAGCTGTCTACAACATATAAAAGAGTTTACTTACCAAAGAAAGATGTAAGGAAGTCCCAACCTCTGCTCCAACCATGCGCTCAATGGGCACGAAGAGGCAGCTTCCGTGTCACGCAGACGTGATGACGTCCACAATTAAAAGTGTTTACCAAGAAATATCAAGTCAATTAACTCAACAAGTTATCTTGAATTGAATTTTTACGTTCACTGCTGAAGAGTTGTTTCAATTCATAATTTTGATTTGTGATAGCTTTTTGGGAAAAAAATGCCATTTTAACTCAATATTATGCGTTGGGATAATTAGCTCAGTTGGTAGAGCATTGGCCTTAAGGCCTGAAGGTCGTGGGTTCAATTCCCACCTCTACACCTTCTCCACCGACTCCCACTGATGACTGCTGTCGTTGTGTCCTTGGGCAAGACACTTCACCCCACTTTGCCCAAAAAGCCCCCACTGTAAGATCAAGGCCAATCTCTGATTGCCACCGCCCTGACCCATAAATGGATTAAAGAGTAGAAAATGGATGGATGGGATAATTACAAGTCAAAACTAGAATTTACAGTGTAGTCTAAGTTTGGGAAGTGAATTGAGAAAAATATACACAAAAAACAAATTTTCTGAAATTAAAAACTTGAAATTGGCAAAAGACGGCCGCCCACCAAAACTCACCGACCGGGAAAGGAGGGCATTAATCAGAGAGGCAGCAGAGACCTAAGGTAACCCTGGAGGAGCTGCAGAGTTCCACAGCAGAGACTGGAGTATCTGTACATAGGACCACAACAAGCCGTATGATCCTTAGAGTTGGGCTTTATGGCAGAGTGGCTAGAAGAAAGCCATTACTTTCAGCAAAAACAAATTGGCACGTTTCGAGTTTGCGAAAAGGCATGTGGGAGACTCCCAAAATGTATGGAGGAAGGTGCTCTGGTCTGATGAGACTAAAATTGAACTTTTTGGCCATCAAGGAAAACGCTATGTTTGGCGCAAACCCAACACATCACATCACCCAAAGAACACCATCCCCACAGTGAAACATGGTGGTGGCAGCCTCATGCTGTGGGAATGTTTTTCAGCAGCCGGGACTGGGAAACTGGTCAGAGTTGAGGGAAAGATGATGGTGCTAAATACAGGGATATTCTTGAGCAAAACCTGTACCACTCTGTGCGTGATTTCAGGCTAGGACGGAGGTTCACCTTCCAGCAGGACAATGACCTCAAACACACTGCTAAAGCAACACTTCAGTGGTTTAAGGGGAAACCTGTAAATGTGTTGGAATGGCCTAGTCAAAGCCCAGACCTAAATCCAATAGAAAATCTGTGGTCAGACGTAAAGATTGCTGTTCATAAGCGCAAACCATCCAACTTGAGGTCCAAGGAGCTGGAGCAGTTTTGCAAGGAGGAATGGGCAAAAATCCCAGTGGTAAGATGTGGCAAGCTCGTAGAGACGTATCCAAAGCGACTTTGAGCTGTGATTGCCGCAAAAGGTGGCTCTACAAAGTATTGACTTTAGGGGGTGAATTGTTATGCACATTGACCTTTTCTGTTATTTTGTCCTATTTGTTGTTTGCTTCACAATAAAGTTGTGGGCATGTTCTGTAAATCAACTGATGCAAATCCTCAAACAATCCATGTTAATTCCAGGTTGTGAGGCAACAAAACACACAAAACGCCAAGGGGGGTGATTACTTTTGCAAGGTACTGTATATGGGGAATTAGGAAGTTAACCAGATTTCTTATAATCAACAACTCAGTTGACATGTTTCAGTCCGGTTTTAGACCCCACCACAGCACTGAGACTTTTCTCGTCAAGGTTATATACAATATCCGGCTGAACACTGACGCAGGCAAAGTCTCAATCTTAATCTTGTTAGATCTGAGTGCTGCCTTTGACACTGTCGACCATGAGATCCTCTTACAGAGATTAGAGGACTGGGTTGGCGTCGCTGGCCAAGTTGGTTTAGGTCTTACCTTGAAGACAGGAAGTACTTTGTGGAGATTGGAAACTGTGTCTCAGATCATATGGCCCTGACCTGTGGAGTACTGAAGAAGATGACAAAGTCTGGGATCGCGTCTTTAATTCAGACAGAAGACATGTTTTATTGTCGATGGTAGAGACAGCACGAACAACACACACGAACAAGGGATGTTACGACAGCAAGTGGATTATACAGCATGGAGGAATGTAGTCCTCCAATCAGCAGCTTCCACGGTGCCATATAGCTTGGCCTTCAGAAGTCAAAACAAGGGAAAAGTACTGGCCCATGCAAATGTAATAAGGATGAGTTTGAACTTTAACAATAGTTGCTTCAAAGTGTTATGAAATCTCACAATACCACAGGGGTCGATCCTGGGACCTCTTATGTTCAATCTCTACATGCTGCCGTTAGGTCAGTTAATACGCAGAAACAAAGTGTCCTATCATAACTATGCAGACGACACTCAGATCTATGTCTCACTGACTGCAGGAGAACATGGACCAGTGGACTCACTCCTTCACTGTATCCAACAGATCAGTGAGTGGATGCAAAACAACTTCCTTCAGCTAAACGCAGACAAAACTGAAATGATTGTCTTTGGTCCCCAGAAACAAAGAGAGAGCGTCATCTGTCACCTACAGTCTCTCTCCCTAAAACCTTCAAACAAGGTCAGAAATCTAGGGGTAATACTGGACTCAGACTTAAATTTTAATAGCCACATCAAATCAGTAACATCAGCAGCTTTTTACCATCTAAAAAACATTGCCAGGATCAAAAACATAGTGTCTAAAGCAGACCTGGAGATTCTTATCCATGCATTTGTCTCCAGTAGGTTAGACTACTGCAATGGCCTGCTCACAGGTCTGTCCAAACAGGCTGTAAAACAGCTGCAGTACATTCAAAATGCTGCAGCTCGAGTCCTGACTAGAACCAGGAAGTACGATCTCATTAGTCCAGTTCTCAGGTCTCTGCACTGGCTTCCTGTGGCTCAGAGAATAGACTTTAAAACAGCTCTGCTTGTGTACAAGTCTCTCCATGGCCTCGCACCAAAATATATTAGTGACATCTTAGTCCCATATGAACCAGCCCGGACTCTGAGGAGCACAGGGACTGGACTCCTGTTAGTGCCCAGAGTCAGAACTAAACATGGGGAGGCTGCTTTTCAGATTCATGCTGCTAAAATCTGGAACAATCTTCCTGAAGATGTGAGACAGGCCTCCTCTCTGACAATGTTTAAAACCAAGTTAAAGACGGTTCTGTTTAGCTGTGCATACAACTGAGGGATTTTATATTTTTATCTTTTTTTATAATGTTCTGTGATTATTTTGTTCAGCACTTTGAGTTGCCTTGTGTGTGAATTGTGCTATACAAATAAACTTGCCTCGCCTTACTTTTATGAGTTAATTGAGATATGGGAAGAGCCAGAGGGGTTTAAGAGCAGCCCCTATTGTCAGTGTGAGTCTGAACTGGGACAGAGCAGGTAAGCCAGGAGCCCTTTAGGAAATATTTTCCTTTTCTGTAAATATTGTAAATATTTTTTTTCTGTACAGCACTCCTCTTCATTACTTATTACTTTTGCTATATTGTGGCTGCACCATCATTTTATTTCAAATCCAGAACCCCGTCACAATATGAAAATCAACTTTTGAAATAATGATTTCATTATTTTGCATACATATATATAGTATAAGATTTATTGATTTAATACAGTGAAATAACAGAATTCATATTAATCTCAGGTTTGGCTTTGTAACTTTAAGTTTTAAGTTTAACAACCAAAGTAAAAGTTAAAAAATGTCTCAAAGTGACCTGGTTTTAATACATGCATAACAAATACATTTGACTCATACTAATATAAATGGAACAGAATCACAAATACATTTGTACTTCAGTTACAACAGAAGAATCAGGAGGAGTCCCAGGAGAGAATGGAGCAAAGTCATTCTCACATCAGACACAGCAGAGGAGGCTGCAGTAGTTGTAGTTGTTGCTGGTGCAGTAGTTGTAGTCGTTGCTGGTGCTGTAGTTGTAGTCGTTGCTGGTGCTGTAGTTGTAGTTGTTGCTGGTGCTGTAGTAGTTGCTGGTGCTGTAGTTGTAGTCGTTGCTGGTGCTGTAGTTGTAGTCGTTGCTGGTGTAGTAGTTGTATTCGTTGCTGGTGCTGTAGTTGTAGTAGTTGCTATGAGAGAAAACACCGGATGAAAGTCATTAGTAATTATAGATCTACCATTACAAAATACTGGTATCAGTAGCAAGGCAAAGCAAGTTTATCTGTATAGCACTGTCCATACACAAGGCAACTCAAAGTGAGTAACGAAGATAGAAACAAAGCTTTAAAACCATAAATAATCACAAGCGATACACGCCATGTTTGTGTTTTGTCACTTAGTTATGTTCATGTGACATTCCCAAGAGACTAAAGTTTCAAATTTTGCTCAAGACATGAGACATATTTCATTGTAACTATGGCAACTGCCAAAAATCCAAATCTAGTCTTTAGCCTATTTCGCAGTATTAGTTGTGGACCTCTGGTCATTTTAAATGACTGCTCCTCCTCTGTGATTCTTGCAGCACATTCACACGAGAGCAGTGTCTGTAAATGACGGTATTTTCACAGACTTAGTAATAATAGACACAACGGCCAAACGTGCGCGAGTCTCTGCTTCATGCAGCCCAAAGGATCCTCACTGAAATCCAGTCAAAACACATGGAAAACATGTTTGTGCTGATTGTCCTTGGCCTTATTTCAGCTCCACACACACATTACTCATATTAAAACTTTAGTGGAGACCTGCGACTAAGATCTCAGACGTCCTCTGAGATCATCACAAATTACCATAGATCCACAGGTAATACTAATCCTGTGTGAATAGGGTTTTAGTTAAGAGCTATTTTGTGTATGTAATTTCTGGATCAATCCAAATTAATTAGAATTCTACAATTTAAAAAGAAAGTCTTTGATGTAATAAAACGCTTTACCGACTTATAGAGTTTGAACTTTTATTTGTTAAGTTACGAGCATAACAACTGGCATAGTCACTGGATAACCATAGTAAACATTACTAATCTAAACAAACCAACCTATGATTATAAGATCATTAGTATATCACATGTTTAAAAAGCACAGCCCCTGTGGCTGGAGGTCTAAATGCCATGTTTTTCAGGAGCACATGAGGACTATAGTGCGGCTGATATTCACCTGTGTTGATGGACAGAGCCACAGCTAAGGCCAGGGACAGCAGCAGCTTGAGTGCAGTCTTCATGTCTGCAGATGTCTTCAGGCGTCTGTCTTTCTCCTGTCTAATGCACCTGTACCTGTGACTGTTCTGATGGATGCTGCTCCTTCTGACTCCTTTTAAACTGGATGTGCTTTGGGAGGGGCCATTGCTCTGACAATCATCCAGGTTCATCCACGTCACACAACAAGGAACTTGTTTTTTCTTTCTCATACCTCACTGGAACTGGCTTGGCCGTTACTATTATCCATCTGTGCTTCACAGCTTTGCCAGGATATAGTACTATGTAATATATAATTAGGTACATAAGATGAATTACATGATTATAGAGTATTAGGTCAAAATGAAGTCCACACCATGACTGTCCGTTACAGAAAATCAAATGATTGGTTGTTAACAGAAATCTTGATTTAAAGGTTATATTTTGCTGTTTTTCACAGTCCATCCTAAGCACATACAGTATGTGATAATACTTTGCATGATACAACACACATTATTTGCATGAAGCTGATGTCACCTTTGCAAACACTAGTATAAGTGCGCCTTCCACTGTGAGCCTGTCATCCCACCCTCACCCATCTCCCCCCACCCGTCTCCCCCCACCCGTACGGTAACGTAGCCTTACCCTGACTTTGTAATCACCATGGACTGTAAATATTCAAAACATTCAACTATTTAGTTTTCACCGGTACATAATCATTTCAGGCCTGAGACTTTTTCTCTTTGTCACATAGAGCCCAGAGAGCCTCCAGAACCCAAGAGGGGGACCCTAAATTATTAAGCTCATAGAAGTATACGACGTGTTAGTTTCCAGATCAGCGTTTGGTCCATGAAAGAGTGCCCTCTAAGGGTGCTTTCACACTTGTTGGTTCAACAAAGTGGTTTGATTAAATAAATAGCTAGTACAATATTTCACTGCTGTAACTTTTATACATGATTATTACCGTTACTATCTAATAATACTGCCACTACTTCATACTATTACTGCTACTACTGCTACTGCTACTGCTACTACTTCATACTATTACTGCTACTACTACTACTGCTACTACTACTACTACTGCTACTACTACTACTACTGCTACTACTACTACTGCTACTACTACTACTGCTACTACTAGTGGTCAAAATATGTCCTCTTTTAATGCACATTAGACACCTGTACATAAGGAAAACACAAAGCAGGGACAGGAAGCCACATGGAGGGGATGGGGATCAGGGAGCAGAAGATCCATGCACTACACCCATCAGGGATCCAACATTGTCGGTGCCACCCTTCTGTTGATATTGTTATGGTCATTATTATTATTATTATTATTATTATTACTATTATTATTAATATGGATGGTAGTAATGGTAAAAGTATTATCAATATTATTATTACTGTTAATCATAATATTTATTTAATTTTTCTTTGTAAACTTATAAGCAATGCACATGCGCACACACACACTCGCACACCACGCAGATGCACACACACACACACACAAAATCTACCCAAAACATTGTTCACTTTCCATGTCTGTATTCTATGTATTCTTGTATGTCTTGTACCGTGTATGTTTGTCATTTACCTGTTTGTTTTGAATTTGGAATGAATAAAAGAAATAATAATAATAAGTGGTTCGATTGGGCCCAAAAGTTGTTACAATGTTGCAGTTTTCAACAGGTTTGGTCCTCATTCGCACCAGTGTTTTTGCAAATGCACCAACCAGCTGACGTAGGTGAAAGCTGATTGGAGCAGGGAAACATCCCTGAAGAAAACAAACTTGGCTATTATCATCATTGCTTTGTGCAGCACAAATATTATGTATCTATTATGTATCGCGGATTCAGCACGATAATACTCTGCAGCTGTTTTTGGAGCAGAAAATACGTGTTCCAAAACATTATTGCCGAAAAAGAGCTTAGCTGCTCATCCGGCTGGCTTTCAATGGAAGCTTTGGTCGACAAAAGAGTCTGCTACGCAACAGAGCAGGGCCGTATCGAGGCCGGTGAGCGTTCCCACCAACAGTGAACCGGACTGGAGTCCACATGGAATCGACCAGCTCCATAAGGGGGTCTCGGTGCGGTTCTTTATTCCGGACCAAATTTAACAGGCCCACTTTCACACCAACCCAAACGAACCGTACTTGCAGGTGTCTTAAGACTCCAGTCCGTTTTAAGTGGACTAAATGGTGCAGGTGTGAAAGCACCCTAGCAACAGGGGCTTCTCTGGACCTGACTGAAGCCTAGTGTATAGATGCGCAGCGATTACGTTGGTGACTTGAGTAAGTAAGTAAGTAATCTTTATTTATATACCGCCTTTTCACTGCACATCGGAGTCTCAAAGCGGTTTACAATTGTTATTTTTGGGAGTGGGGGTGCCAGTACAGGAGGCACATGCCAGACCTATTGTACATATTTTTTGTGGTAGGGGAAACCGGAGCACCCGGAGGAAACCTACGCAGACACGGCGAGAACATGTAAACTCCACTCAGAAAGACCCTGGTCCAACCGAGATTCGAACCCAGGACCTTCTTGCTGAGAGGCGAGAATTCTATCCACTCTGCAACCGTGCCGCCATAATGAAAAAACTTGACGTCAATTGCGCAACGCAAGGATCACCGCAAGACCCTTGCGTAGCCTGGTGTGCACCCTCAAAAATGTCTAACTAGGCAGCCGCCGCCGTAAGGAAACTCCGCTGTGATTGCTCCGTGTGTGATTACTTTCTGGGAAGCATGAAGCGGCTGCAGGGAACATGGACGAGGCACTTTAAAGCAGACTGCTTTGTGCTTCGAAGGAAACAAAGGAAAAGCAGTTTGGGCTCGTGGCTCAGAGCCTGATATACGCGGAGACTATGGACTAGAGTTCTGTTCTGCATATCGAACATATATATAACTTATAAACTGTGCAGTCATTTCTTTTGCACTGTTCCTGTCTTTGTTTGAATTTAAACTTGTAGCTTATTGCGTCTGTTGCACTTGTAAGTAATGTTTATTTATATAGCGCATTTTACAGACCAAGGTCACCCAAAGCGCTTTACAATGTTCAGAGTCAGATATTGTTCCAATCATTCCACACACGGTGTTGATGGAAGCGAGTCGCTGAACACACTGGACGATCAGCTCCAACACCACCCATTCACTCTCTCATTACATTCAGACCTATTGTGCATGTTTTTAATGTTAGGGGAAACCGGAGCACCTGGAGGAAACCTACGCAGACACATGGAGAACATACAAACTCCACTCAGAAAGGCCCTATTCCGACCGGGATTTGAACCCAGGACCTTCTTTGCTGAGAAGCGAGAGTGCTAACCACTCAGCCACCGTGCCGCCCATCGTGGCTGAGCTTATTGTTGGTGGCTTATTGTTTTGCTGTTTGTGCTGAATACACTTTAATAATAACTACATGTTTCCAACAAGAAATGTGTCTTTATTCACAACATCACAGTTAAATGAGTTGAAACAATGGATCTAACCCTAATTATTAAGTTCACTAAAGTATACGGCGACTTAGTTTCCAGATCAGCGATTGGTCCATGAAAGAGCCCATTGTGCCAAGAGGAAGCAAACAGTCACATACTGTACATATATGCATATATAGAAATGGTAAATAGAATAAATAAAAACACATTATATATATACTGTATATATATATATCTCATCTGGGACTCACCCGGAATGGCTAACCGAAGGGCGAACGGTCCTGATCATGAAGGACCCTGTCAAGGGTGCAGTCCCCTCCAACTACCGGCCAATAACCTGTCTCTCCACAACATGGAAGCTCGTGTCAGGCATCATTGCGGCTAAGATAAGTGGGCACATGGAACAATTCATGAGCACAGCACAGAAGGGCATTGGTGGAAACACCAGAGGAGCCAAACACCAGCTCCTGGTTGACAGAACAGTCGCCCAAGACTGCCGGTCATGACACACCAACCTGTGCACAGCCTGGATTGATTACCAGAAAGCCTACGACTCAATGCCGCACACATGGATCATGGAATGCTTGAAGTTGTACAATATTAACAGGGCTCTAAGGGACTTCGTTGCAAACTCGATGGGAATGTGGACGACCACCCTTGAGGCAAATGGCAAGCCGCTCGCACAAGTGACCATCAAATGTGGTATCTACCAAGGAGATGCTCTGTCCCCACTACTGTTCTGCATAGGCCTCAACCCTCTAAGCCAAGTAATTGACCAGACTGGCTATGGATACCGCCTCAGGAACGGAGCAAAGATCAGTCACCTCCTCTACATGGATGACATCAAGCTGTACGCCAAGAGCGAGAGAGACATCGACTCTCTGATCCAAACCACCAGGATATACAGCCATGACATCGGGATGTCATTTGGACTGGAGAAATGTAGCAGGATGTTGACTCGGAGAGGCAAGGTAGTCCACAGAGAAGGGATCTTACTCCCAGAGAGAACGATAGCAGACGTTGAGGACAGTTACAAGTATCTTGGTATACCACAGGCAAATGGCAACCTCGAACAGGCAACGGGGAAAGCGGCAACTGCCAAATACCTCCAGCGAGTGAGGCAGGTTCTAGGAAGCCGGCTTAATGGCAAGAACAAGGCTGGGCAATTAACAGCTACGCCCTGCCAGTGATCAGATACCCTGCAGGGATAATCAGGTGGCCAAAGGAAAAGATTCAGACCACGGATGTTAAAACTCGAAAGCTCCTTACCATGCATGGCGGGTTCCATCCCAAATCCAGCACCCTGAGACTGTCCAGCATCAAAGCTCGTTGCTATCTGATCATTTCTTGATCAAGTTTGATCTCGATTTGGAGGACTTTCCTGCGCCGCAAGATAAAACCATTATGAAAAGAACCTTAAATGATAAATCTATCACTAGGTTCAAAGAACTAATACAGCCAATGTTGAATACTGCTGCAGGTGAACCTGTTCACAGCTGCAGTCATTGACCAAACGGTGGACAACACTACGGAGTCTTTAAAATCTGCATTAGATTAAGAGATCCTTTATTTGTCCCACAGTGGGGAAATTTCGGTGTTGCATCACAGGTTATAGGACAGTAGGAAAGAGGAGTACACAGCACACGTGAAAAATAGCTATACTAAACAAAATCAAAATAATCTAACTCTAGCATCAATAATAAGTATAACATCTCTATCTTGAAAATATAAGAGATGTAAAAATTTAAAATTGACAAAATAAGAGGCAAGTATAAAGTACTGTGTAATCTAGTGCAAGTAAAGT